CTTAAGTTATTAAATCTGAAATATTCTTTTAAAGCAATAGGCTTATATGTTAATAATGTAAATTAATTTATGACAAATAAAAAATGAGAAATGAGTCGAATTACTGACATATCTTAGTATTGAACTACAAATTTAAAGGGGTCATATGATGCATTAAAATTTGTCCTTTCTCTTTGGAGTGTTACAAGCTCTTGGTGCATAAAGAAGATCTGTAAAGTTGCAAAGACTAAAGTCTCAAATCCAAAGAGATATTCTTTATAAAAGTTAAGAGTCAACCACGCCTACCTAAAACACCTCGTTCTAACACGCCCCCACATATCTACATCACTATGTGGGAAGATTTGCATAACGCCGCCCAAATGTTCACGCAAAGAAAGAAGGCGTAACTTTTACTCTCGCTGTTGCCGCCGCAGTCATGTTGTGGAGACACTGTGTGTTTCGTTGTGAAAGTGAACGAAAGGCGTGTTTGGCCTTCTAAAAGAGGACGATATCTGCTTCGTCATGCCTGGAGCTGATCCGTGCTGGTCGCTGAGGAAATACATCAACTTTGCGCTGTGGATCGCCGGATCGGGCATCACAATATGGTAAGGGGCGTAACATTTCCGTCACACGCTTGAGGTATTCGGCCAATCACAACGCACTGGATAGCTGGCCAATCACAGCACACCTCGGTTTTCAGACCGATGAGCTTTGTAAAAATCGTCGCGTTTCAGAAAGGCGGGGCATAGAGGAGAAACAATAATGTACAGTATGTGAAAAATAATGTTTTTTAAACCTTAAACCGCATAAACACATTTCATTACACCAAATACACAAAATAATGTTCTTTTTAGCAACATCATATGACCCCTTTAATATTGATTGCTTAGCCCTGGAAAATTTTTATTAAAATGTTTCAAATTGATATCATATATCAAAATCTTGGCAAATCTAAGCACAGTTTTGTGAAGTTGAGATCTTTTCTGAAACTTTAGAGAAACATGAGATTATTTAGGTCTTTTTCTGAGAATAAAAATAATGTGTGGTTTTTATTTCTTGTGGTCTCACTCATTATTAATTGCTACAAATGACAAGAATAGATCATGTGGATTGAAATCATTATACATCACACATACATACACACTCATACATTTTATCCCCTCTTCCCCACCGTGTCTGACAGTGAATGTCTCCCAAATTCATAAAAACGGACTCAGTCTAAAATAATGTGGGGCAGCCCTCGAAGGACCTGGGTCAGCTCTATCACTGTGAGAATCTCTCCCTTCTTGCCCCCAAGGGAAATGTAAAACAGCTCTCTTTTTTTAGACAGCGGAACACAAGAGGATATTGGATCACCACAATCGAGAACATCTGCAGGGAGATTTTGCGCCGCTCATTCCCTTGCATGTGCATGTATGTATGTGTGTGTGGGGGTTGGACAGGAGGGGGCCATTAAGTGAGAAACACACAGATGATGACAGAATCATGTTACAAAAACATGCATGTATCGCATTCAGCACATGCTATCTTGTCCCTCAGAGGCCACACAAACTTTGTACAGATATGTGCTTACTCTCTGTTTCTCTCTCTCTTACACACACATACACACACTAATGCCCTTTAATGGTAGTGCAGTGTGTGCTGCTTCCCTGGCTGGGGCCAAATAACAGATATTATCCTCATCATAGTTTGGCCTCTTTGGACGGCTGTAGCAAGGGCCATCAGAGAGTGCTGAGAAAAACACAGCCACTCGATATGCGCACAACTGGGAGAGAGAAGAGCTCAGCATTGCCGCTGTTAAAATGACAGGACTGCATGGATCGAGCAAGGGCAGATCTATATTACAGCTGCAGCAGTAGATCCATACTGCCATTGATTGACTGGGGAAGCACACACAGGAATATGCATGTAGGCCATGGTATGGAGAGGTAAAAAATATCCCAAAAAAAATTACAGATGTGGGTTGAATAATCTGAGTCTGGCACTGAGAAAGACTTACAAAAAAAGTACTGTTGCTGTACAGATGGTATCAAATGACTTGCACATTCATGATAGTTGGGTAGTTAACATGACATACTTTTGTTGACTCGTTCTATAAACTATACGCAAACTTAAACAACATTTAAAACTTCATAAACATATAACATAATATTATGCATGCAGCTTTTATGACTTCATTATAATTATCAATAGATTACATAGAATATTTGTATTAGTTTAAAATCTATTTAAAATTAACTGGTGAATGCAAACAATCTATCTATCTATCTATCATGTACATATATACATACAGTGGGTATTACATTAATGAGGAAAAAAAATTAACTTAAATGATTTTAGCAAATGGCTGCAATATAACAAAGAGTGAAAAATGTAAGGGGGTCTGAATACTTTCCGTACCCACTGTATGTAACTATGCATTTGATATATTTTATTAATGTAAGTTTTAGAATTAATGATATATTGTTTTTATTTTACATATATTTTATTTGATATTTTAAGATATAGTTATATTTGAAAATCATTTTAATGTTATTTTTCGTAAACTATAAAGCAATGATGTGTTGTTCCAATTACTACAAGGTCTTTTTTATGTACAGTTAATTCCCCCCCCCCCCTCCAAAAAAAACAAACAATAATACCACAGTACCATATCAAAGAAAACATGGTTATTCTACTTTTTTGTAAGTGGAGATAAATAAACAGAATAAGGGAGGGGGGCAAAACAAGAGAAAACGTAATGAAAAGGAAAGAAACATGGCTTAAAACACACACAAGCTTGAGTGGGAGCTGTAAGAGCAGAATTCCAGAGACTGGAGAGCCGTGGGGCCGGCAGCGGAAGTGTGCTAAAGCTCTCTCCAGTGACCCCTGACCTTGCAGATACCATTCCCATCAACTCCTCCTCCAGCTGTCTGCACTCAGCCACCCAGCAGGCCCGCAAACAGTCCTCCTCCTCTCCTCTCCTCCCCCCACTCCCTCGCTCTTTCTTCCCTAGTGCTCTTCCCTCTCCCCCGCTGCACATCACTCACCCACCACGCCATCCTTTCATCAAGTATAGTCCCACCTCAGCTCAAAGCATGACTTTATATATATATATATATATAATCATATTTATACGATTTGAATAATATAGATATGTTTTAAAATATTAATCACATTATTATCATTATTTTTAGCGATTTAAAAATTTGTATCTATCAAGGGACAATGGGAACAAACTGCCAAACTGCCTTGAATTTCAATCCCACAGGGTTGAAAATGGTTCGGTGGGAACTTGTTAACAGGGAGGAAATCTCCCATCTTTCCCACCATCTCAGTGCCCACTTATAAGACCAGCAAGATACATAGATCTCAGCCAACCCAACATTAAAGCACACTTCACATACTTTAACACAAACACCGCCAACTTCTAACCGATCACCACAAAACAGATGGGCCCTCGGAAAGCCACCAGAAAACTCTGTTGCAGCCGTGGCGTGATATAGCAACATGATCTCATGATAATTCGTATGTATTTTACGTAAAATGTGGTTCTATAAAACGTTAATTTACTTACGTTTTACAGGCACTAAAACGTACAATACTGACGTATTTTCAGCATTTAAACATACAAAACTGACGTATTGACGACACCTAAAAATTAATCCTTATGAATATTGAAATCGCGGCATTAATTTTATTATTAGTTGTTTTTAGTTGTCATATCAATTACCTTGTTTTCAACTGTATTATTAAATTGTTTACTCGTTTACTTAATATGAAATATTAACATTTAATTTTGTTGTGTGATTTCTGCTGCCAGCTCGTTTCCAAGAATAGGCCTACATAATGTTAAACAAGACTACACTTTAAAAGCCCTTAAAATAAATAAAATGTCTGCAATCGTTTAACCTTTACTTGTCATGTAATGTTTACTTTGTTTGCCATGCCCAGTCAACAATTTTATCTCACAATGATGTCACCATGAGCTCACATGATTCTCATGGTGTGGTCACAATGTGTGTGTCACAGTGAGCTAAAAGTGTAACCACACAGCGCACTCACTGTGTGCTCATACTATGCTCCCAATGTGAGGTCACAGTGCACTCATACTGTGGTCACAATGTGAGGTCACTGCACACTCACTGTGGTCACAATGTGAGGTCACTGCACACTCACTTTGCGCTCATACTGTGGTCACAATGTGAGGTCACTGCACACTCACTGTGCGCTCATACTGTGGTCACAATGTGAGGTCACTGCACACTCACTGTGCGCTCATACTGTGGTCACAATGTGAGGTCACTGCACACTCACTGTGCGCTCATACTGTGGTCACAATGTGAGGTCACTGCACACTCACTGTGCGCTCATACTGTGGTCACAATGTGAGGTCACTGCACACTCACTGTGCGCTCATACTGTGGTCACAATGTGAGGTCACTGCACACTCACTATGTGCTCATACTGTGGTCACAATGTGAGGTCACTGCACACTCACTGTGCGCTCATACTGTGGTCACAATATGAGGTCACTGCACACTCACTGTGCGCTCATACTGTGGACACAATGTGAGGTCACTGCACACTCACTGTGCGCTCATACTGTGGTCACAATGTGAGGTCACTGCACACTCACTGTGCGCTCATACTGTGGTCACAATGTGAGGTCACAGCGCACTCACTGTGTGCTCATACTATGGTTATTGGTTACAATGTGAGGTCACAGCGCACTCACTTTGTGCTCATACTATGGTTACAATGTGAGGTCACTGCACACTCACTTTGCACTCATACTGTGGTCACAATGTGAGGTCACTGCACACTCACTTTGTGCTCATACTGTGGTCGCAATGTGAGGTCACTGCACACTCACTGTGCGCTCACCATGTGAGACCACTGTCATATCATTGTGTTAAACTCATTCTATTAACTGTGATCTAAAAATTCTCTAATATTTGTCAGTAATATCACAAACATGTAGAATTTCATCTTTTATTTCCTTCAAAGTATTTCTTCAATTCGGTTTCCTTGTTCATTTTGATTTATTTTCAGTTTGGTGTTGGCATTTCACAGACATTTCAATTTAACAGATACATTCTGCTTCTGGTGTTGTTTTGATGACTCCTTTTCGATTCTTAACTTCAATTTCTTTGTCCCCTTGGAAAGACTTGACACATCCTGAAACAGAGAACAATATGTCATTGCAATCAGTTACTAACAACCTAACAGGTGAAAATAACTATTAGTTAAACAAAATATGAAAAAAATCTTGCATCCATGCTTCCACAAAACATGCTTGTATAGTTACTGAAAT